GCCATCTGCCCACCTTTCTACCTCGCTAGCTAAGTAGCTAGCTAGCTAGCTAGCTAGCTATCTAGCTAGCTAACCAAATAGCCAGCTAGCTAGCTAGCCAAATAGCCAGCTAGCTAGCTAGCTAAAGAGGTAGTTAGCTAGCTAGCTAGCTAGCCATTTGTGTGTATGGAGGAATTGATTAAATGCCAAGAGTTTGTTCTCCCTCTTTGAGGTGCGGAGCCTGCTGCAGCGGGAGTTGCTGCTATCACTGCAATCGCTGCTGCTGCTGCTGCTGCTTGAGCTGCTGCTGCTGCTGCTGCTGCAGGTGTTTGTGCTTCAGCCGTTTGGCCCGGCGCTCTTCAGGCGTTGCTGCTGCTGGGTTTCTCGTTTCCTTCCACCAGTAGCACTCTCGCTGCTGCTGCTGCTGCTGTTGCTGCCAAGGGGCAGGAGGCGGCAGAGTGCCTTGCAGCAGGGGGAGGAGGCAGGTGCTCTGCTGCGCTTGTTGCTGCTGCTGCTCTTGCTGCTGCTGCTGCTGCTGCAGCTGCTGCATGCGTCTGAGCACTTCCAGCTCCAGGCAAACGGGCGGCTGCAGCTGCCCCTCCCTGTCGATAACCCAGCCAATTAGAATGCTGTCGTCCTGCTGCTGCTGTTGCTGCTGCTGCTGCTGCTGCTGCTGCTGCTGCTTGATGGGCTCGAATATCGGCAGCAAATCTATTTCGGACTTTGGGTGGCGAACCACCAGCAGCGACCCCACAAAGCAGCCCAAGGGCAGCACCTGCGCCTCTCCAAACACCTCTTGCTGCTGCTGCTGCTGCTGCTGCTGCAGCAGGGCGTGCTTGCTGTAGGGGATCAGCAGCAGCCCCTTGAGCTGCAGCGTCTGCACAATCAGCAGCTGCTGCTGCTCATCTGCGAAGAGCTTAACCGGCAGCAGGTGGCCCTGCAGCACAGCGGGCAGCTGCTGCTGCTGCTGCTGAAGCTGCTGCAGCAGCTGCTGCTGCAGCAGCTGCTGCTGCTGCAGCAGCAGCAAGTCTTGCTTTTTAAAAAGCGAAAGAGGAGAGAAAGACAAAACCCCACGGGGATGCAGCTGCCCGGTGTACATACACCACAAACGCAGAGTGCAGTCCCCGCTGCTGCTGACGACCCACCTCTGCTGCAGCAGCGGTTTGCTGCTGCTGCTGCTGTCACTGTTGCTGCTGCTGCAGTCACTGCTGCTGCGGGAGCTGCCGTTGCTGGCGCGGTGGTTGGTGGCGCCGTCGCCGCTTCTGCTGCTGCCGTCCTTGCTGCTGCTGCTTTCCTTGCTGCTGCTGCTGCTGCTGCAGCAAAGTATGGGTGCTGCATCTGTTATGAAATCCAAATGCCCCAAATGCGCTGTCTCCAGCTGCCACGGAGAAGCAGCAAAGCAGAGCCGCACCTTTTCGTCTCTGTCTCCCGTCAGCAGCAGCAGCTGCTGCTGCTCCTGCTGCTGCAGCTGCTGCTGCTCCTGCTGCTGCTGCTGCTGCAGGTCAATCACCTTGAGACATGTGACAGTTGTCAAGTGCGCCATTACAGGAACGTCTTGGTCTGCCTCATCTTCGCTGAGCTCTCCAAATGCGTCACCTTTGCTGCTGCTGCTGCTGCTGCTGTTGCTGCTGCTGCTGCCGCTGTTACTGTTGGTGCTGCTGTTGGCGAGTTGCTCGTCGCTGCGGCCCTCCTTTTCTGCAGGATCTGCCGCTGCTGCTGCTGCGTCTGCTGCCGCTGCTGCTGGAGTGGTTGCCGTCGGTGCTGCTTCTGCAGCTTTTGCTGCTGTTGTTGCTGTTACTGCTGCTGCTTGCATTTGCTGCAGCAGCACATCCCCTGCCAGCCGCTGCTGGCCTCCTATGGATTCCAGCGGCAGCAGAAATACATCACCGAACTTGTCACACAGCAGCACGCTCATCCTCTGCTGCTGCTGCTGCTGCTGCTGCTGCTGCGTGGGGATGAAGCAAGCAGCAGAGGCCTTCTTGCGCTGCACGCGCTGCTGCAGCAGCTGAAATGGTTCGCCTTTCCAAAGACACAGCAGCTTATCATCTGCTGCGGTGAGCCACATGCAATTGCTGCTGCTGTCGCTGCTGCTGCTGCTGCTGTTGCTGCTGCTGCAGGGAGCCCGAGCGTAGACGGGGTAGCTGCTGCTGCGCCTTCCGCAGTCCAGGCAGACGCAGTCTGCTGCAGCAACGTCCAGGGTGTGCTGCAGCTGCTGCTGCTGCTGCTGCTGCAGGTCCTGCGGGTCTATTAGGGGGTTGTTGTCGCTCGCTGCTGCTGCTGCTGCTTGCTGCTGCTGCTGCTGCTGCGCAGGGAGCCAGTGCTGCTGCTGGTAGTCAAAGAGAAGCAAAGAGCTGCCGTGAGCAGCAAGCAGCAGCGGCTTGTGTGGGTGCAGCAGCAGCGGGGGCTGCGGTATGGAAGGCAGGGGGCAAGAAAGGGGCTTCATTTTCCGCAAAAAGGACTAGAAAAGGATTTATTTGTTTAAATTTAATCATTTATTTTAATTTAACTCCAAATTATTTAAAAAACGCCAAAAAAACAGCCCCAGACACCCCAGCAGCCACTCGAAACGCATGCACCACTCGCGGGAAGTGGAACTGGAAATGGAAATTTGAATGGTTTGAAAGAATTAAATTTAATTTAATTTGAATTATTTAATTTATTTAATTAATTAAAATAAATATTTTAACTTTTATTCTTTTTCTCCGCAATTTAAAACATTTCAGAAGCACTTCAGATCCTCCAGTACCCACTGTTCAGCAGCAACAGAAATACTTCAAATTGAATCTTCTTTTGATTACTTCTTTTTTATTCTTATTCTTTTTATTTATTCTTTTTATTTTTTTAATTTTATTTATTTTTAAATAAATAAAACTAACCATCAACTCCCACGGATTCCCCAGTGGTTCGTTACACACTGCAGCAGCAGGAGCAGCAGCAGGAGCAGCAGCAGCTCTAGCAGCAGCAGCAGCAGTTCTAGCAGCAGCACAGCAGCAGTTCTAGCAGCAGCAGCAGCAGTAGGAGCTCTGGCAACTATAGAAAAACGAATTCGCGAAAATTTAATTGTTTGGAAACTGAACTAAAAAGGTTTTGTTTTGTTCAGTTTTAATTTATTAAAAGTTTAAAATAAAAAGGCGAAAACTAAAAAGATAAATTCAAATAAATAATTTTGGCCCTTTTGCTGCAGCAGCAGCAGCTGGGCCTCAGCTGTGATTTAAAAGCAAATTTAATCGAATTTGAATGATTTAAATTATTTTAAATGATTTAAAGTAGCAAAAAATGATTTAAAATCATTAAAATGGATTCAAAATGATTTAAAATAATCCAAAATGATTTAAAATAATTTTCTTTTTTCAAATTTCATTTCTTCGCCGCTTTCCACTTCTCCGCTGCTGTACAGACACCCGAACGCAAGTGGGCGGTCTTCGAAAACTCTTTTGATTTTGAAAAAAAGAATTTAAAATAAATAATTAAAAATAAATATCGAAAGATATAATTAAAAAGAAATAATAAATAAACAGTAAATTATGTTTAATAAAGCAAATAAAAGAAGTAAATAAAATAAATATATAAAAAGAAATAAAAAATTAAATGAACAAATGGAAGAAGCCGATAAAGTAAATTATTTTGAAATATAAATAAAACAAATAAACCAAACAAAAGGATTGAAATAAAATAAACAAAATAAAATTATATAATTAAAATAAATAAAACTAAAATGAATAAATAAAATCAAATAATGAAAAAAGGAAATAAAAGTGGAATAGTGAATTTAATGAAATGATATTTGACGGCCAAAGGAAGTAAATAAAATTAAAATTAAAGTTCAAAATAAATGAATTTAAATAAATAAATAAATAAATAAATTCAAATAAATGAATAATTAAATCAATAAATTTAGATAAATAAATTTAAATAAACAAATAGATAAATAAACTCATTTAATAAATATATTTAAATATATAAACGCATAGAGAAATAAATCAATAAACTTCATTAATAAATAAGTTAAAATGAATAAATAAAATAAACTTCATCCCGAAAATGAAAAATAAATAAATTATTTCATTTTTTTAAAACGAAAAAAGGCAAAGACGGAAAATAAAAACTTTTTCGAATAAACACGTCATTAGAAACAAATAAAGAAACAAATAAATAAATAAATAAATAAATGGATAAATAAGAAAATAAATAAATAAATAAATAAATAAATACATAAATAATTAAAATAAATAATTAAAAAAATCCCGTCTTTGAAGCTCTTTGCAAATAATGCCATCTGCAGGTGTTGGCGCTGCAGCCTTTTTCTTTGCCTTTGCATTTATCCAAGTGAATTTCGTTTTCTTTGCTGCTGCTGCTGCTGCAGCTGTTGCAGCTGCTGCTGCTGCTGCTGCTGCTGCGGGTGGTGGTGGTGGTGGTCTTCCTGCTGCTGCTGCTGCAGCAGCAGCAGCAGGCTGAGGGCTCCAGGCCTCCAGAAATGACCTTGTAGGTGCTTCGGCTGCTTCGGCCGAAGCTTGCTGCAGTTGCTGCTGCTGCTGCTGCTCCTGCTGCTGCTGCTGCTGCTGCTGCTGCTGCTGCTCTCGTCTCCCTCGCTCGGCCGCCGCGAGGAGCTGCTGCTGCTGCTGCAGTTGCAGGCAGCGCAGCAGCGAGGAGAAGAGGCACCGGCTGCAGCAGCAGCAGCAGCTGTGGCTGCTGCTGCTGCTGCAGACCCCCGGGAGACAAGCTCCGAGGTGTATGTACACCCCAAGTTTCTTGCCCTTTGGAACGCGGGAGACTGCGGCTTCTTCTTTCGGAAGCAAGAAGCCCTTGGGGCTGCGCCATGGCTGCAAACCCTAAACCCTAAACCCTAAACCCTAGGAGGGGGGGGAGGGTGAAGAATGGGGTGGAGGGTTTAGGGTTTAGGGTTTGATTGCGCCTGTGCACTTTAAAGGACTCTTTTTTCTCCAGATTAATTGAATTTAATTCATTTATTCTTTTTGAATTTGTTTTTTTCTTCCTTTGTGCAGATCTTTGAGGAGATCTAGCCAAAGAGGAGCAGCGGAAGAGCACGAGCTGGCGAGCCTCCGCGAAACTCCGAAGAAAAGAACAAACA